CAGTCAAAGTATAAGGGAAAAGACTAAGTTACGCATGTAGTACCTAATATATGACTACAGAGGCATCATAAGTACGTTAGGACATGAGGGACATGAAGGGACATGGCAGACTCACTCCTCAGTCAAAGTATAAGGGAAAAGACTGAGGAGATGCGAAGGGAGAGCTCCTGGTATATGTGAGGGAGCTCGAGGGAAGCATTTCCATAAAGGGAACAAAAGAATGTGCCTAAAGCGGTAATATCAATCAGGAAAGATAGAAGATCGCAAGGAAGAACACAAGAATAGAACATGTGAGAGAATCTGTACATAATAGGTAACGAGCGTGTGATATTTCCATATTTGTACGATATACAAAGTTCAACAACAGCTCCCTCGATACCGTACATACATAGACCTGAATGAGGGACTCGGAACTATACAAGCGCGGGGATCACTCCTTCACAGCCACTGCTACAACGAACGCGATTTTCACTAAGTCCAGTGATTTGCATACTGGCAAAACCACCATCTCGTAGCTGCCTGCACCTCAATACCGACCCATCCGCATTACCATTGCAAGCCCGAGCTGTTGGCACTCGGCGGTCTTGTGTACTCGACCGGCTTCCCTGCCTCGAAGGGCAACAACAAGACCTTCATCCAGGTCATCGAGCGGAAGCGCAGGATGCGCGTGGAGCTGCTGTCGCGCACGCGCAAGGACGGAGAACTCCTACCAATTGCGCGTCGCATCCTCGTGCGTTTGCGCATCGGGAGCAGTGCACGCGAAACATGGTTGTGCGGGCAGGCGAGACGTGCAGGAGCGCGGTAGTGGCGAAGGGGAGCAGACCGAGCTCGTCAAATGCGAACACCGCCGCAGATGGGGATGGGGAAGGCGGTGGACCTGCGGAGGCCGTACCTGTTGCGCCCGGGTTGCTATCGGGGACAAAGGCGTGCTGGGCACCGAGAAGCGCCGGAGAGTCGGCCAGAGTTGGTGGCAGGATAGGCGTGACCTCGGACTGGTGATGAAGTAGGTGGACTCGGAGACGTCGACGTAGACGCTCTCGGAGGCGTCGTTCGTGTGCGGGAAGGAGGGTCCATCCGCAATCAAGGTCCTCGCATAGGACGGTGACGTGCACCATCGCCAACTCGGTGCACGCGGGTACGATGTTCTGCAGGTGAGTGAACCTAAGCTAGCAATACGGGAGCGTGAGCGGGTTTGACCATCAGTGGGAATGGCGGAGAGAATACTCACCGTCGAGCTCGGGGGAGCCCAGTGGCCGACGTTTGGCCTCCGACCGAATTCGACCACGAACGACCAGAGCTGAGCTGCGACCGAATCGGCTGCATGTACAACGCGCCGAACAACGCCCAGAACGGGACCTTCACCTCGTGCGAGGGCGACAACCAGAACTTCCCCCACCCAGCCTCCCGAATCTCTCGGCGCGATAACCGGACCTTCACCTCGTGCGAGGGTGACAACCAGGACTTCCCCGGCGTGTACACCCAGGACGGCCAGGTGATGACCTACACCCAGCCTCCCGAGTCTCTCGGCGCGATTCAGATGATGCCTTACACCGCGCGCGTTCCCGCTTCCAGCAACTGCGCGACCTACTCGAGCGTGCAACTGTTCGCTGCTGCTACCTCCACTGCAGTCGCGTTTGCCTTTGTCTTGACCTTTTTCAGTGCGATTCAGATGATGCCTTACACCGCCCGCGTTCCCGCTTCCAGCAACTGCGCAACCTACTCGAGCGCGCAACTGTTCACTGCTGCTACCTCCACTGCGTGAGTCGCGTTTGCCTTTGTCTTGACCTTTTTCCCTTACCTTCGCCAGTGCCTCTGGATCGGCGGCTGCCACCGCCACTGGTACCCACAAGGACTCTTCCACCACCTCCGGCTCTGGCGCTCAGGCGTCTCAGACCAACGCAAGCGGCGCCGGCTCCCTCGCCGTCAGCGGCATGGCTGCCGTCTTCGCCACCGCAGTGTTAGCCTAGGCTGGCCCTCGCGTTGTGAGAACGGATTTAGCGCCTCCGCACGCATCATCGAACGGCATGTAGGTCAATGAGATGGACTATGGATTGGATTAGACGGTGTCTCGCGGACTCGGACTTCACGCTTTCATTCACACCTTTATGCACACCGCCTATGACCGCGCTCCGGGAGTGTTATCGTACTATTAGGTTATTACTGTACTTTACATGCGTACCAATACCTATTCAATCAATAAGCTCCATATTCCCATACTCGTCAACAAACCACTCATCGGCTTTGAACGTGTGAGTTACCAAACGTATATCTTCCTGCTCCAACTTGATCGTTGGGGAGTGCTGCGCAGGCATGGGCGCAGACGATGACGGCAAGAGTGACGTTGCTTGGGATGGCACCTCAACTCTAGCTTCCGAGGGTTCATCATCGAGGAGCACCAGCTTCTTCTTGTTAGGGAATCGGACAGCTGCAATAGCGGCGAAGTGTGTAGCAGTCGCCTTCGGGTTGTGCTTCCCCGCATTGACGTACTCCTGCCACAGATCTCGAAAGTCGCCTGGTGTTCTCGCTGCCCTCCAGAAACGCCGATACTTCATGACGGTTGCCTTGACGAACGGGGTGGCGAAGACAGCCTCGAACGCCCGTTCAAGCGTAAGCTCCGAGTCGTCGTCCATCTTCTGTGCTACCTTATCAAAGAGTTCCTGTAGCTCACAGACAGAGAAGTCACAAGGAAATGTGCGAGCCAGCGGACAGGTGTTAGACATCTTATGCGATGCCTTCTGCGACTTCCTGGGCTTGTTTCTTATGGGGTGGATATCTGGAAGAAGCTCGACAGATGGTGATCGTGCACAGTGTACCACGGAAGCGGCATCACTGTTGCCAGTCAGCTTTGGGACCTTGATAGGTGATACGACCGCCTCTGCTGCTCTTTTCTTCCCGATATCATGAGATGGGAGCGGCCGCTGCTGAGCCATAGCATCCGCAAGACCTGGGCAATCATCGACCTTCAGGCGTTCAAGGGTGATAGGCCGAACACATGCAAGAATTGGACGTCCTCGAATGGCGATGATGCGATGATCTGCAGTGTACGTCTTGAAACGGCCAGATTCATAAACATCGACATATCTCTCCTTTGTGAGCCCAAGGATGCCAACGTCGCTGAAAGAAAAGCGAGGGAAGTCATTTGCATGATGGGCAAGAATTTCGGGCTCTTCACCCTTCGTAGTCCAAACCCAGAGTTCGATGCTTTGTTGCTGAAGTTGATCGTCCTTCTGGCGCTGCAGCTTCTGCGATAGAATCTGTGCTTTGTCGGCCTGTGCGCGTTCGTATTCCTTTGCCCAGTGCTGTGACAGCGGCTGTGCCAAGCGAGTAGAGGAGCCGGCCTGAGTTGCTGCTGGCAGCTTTGAACCAGATTGTCGAATAACGATGGGCAAGGAGGGTGTTGGCGAAGAGGATGATATGGTGGGCTCCGCAAAGGCGGAAGGCGATGGCGTATGTGACTGAGAAGAGGGAGCATGATCTAACTCAGCTCTGCGAACAGTGTTCTGTGATCCTGCTGAAGCTGGGAAATGGGCGGCAACCTTGTGAACCTGGCAGTGTCCTCGGGGAGTATTGTTCATGCGAGCCTCTACCGCCTCAGCCTTGCAGCACATGGCGCAGCGTAAGGTGATGCATGCACGGTTCCTCTGACGCGGTGCATTAGTCTTCTGTGCATAGCATCCTGGACGCTCGCAAGGAAACTTCGCAATGATGCCCTCTAAAGGCTCCACTACGAGTGGTGCGCGGCGTACGTGAAGTCCCGAGGGAATAGTGAACCGGTTTGGAAGACCTTCGAGGAGTGTCAAGAGCTCAGTGTAGTCATAGACATGCGTGCCCTCGACCCCATGATATTCCGTCCAATGACAGCCAGAGGAAGAACACTAAGAAAGGATGATCAGATTGGCAGATGCCTGAGAGTGTACAGTACTCACCGTCTGGCATATCATTCCGCGTTTGCTCCGGTTATTTGCACCACGACCCTCGCAAACCCGAAAGCCGCCCATGAGGCTATGGCATTGCTTGCAAGTGCGGAAAGGCTTGAAGACGGGTAGCTCTATCGTATCCGGGGGTGAATCAGAGCTCATAGTGTTGAGATAGGTTCACATCGAGGAGATCGTCATTGCAGCTAGATTTATATGAATATGTACATGCAAAGCCCGGCATGCACAATGCATAATACATCCGGGGCAATGCGAGGAAGTATATAGGAATGGTAGCGACAAAGCTGAAGGGGCGGGTAGCCTTGTGCCACTGTATTCTGCCGCGGCGGTGTGGCCTTGGCGGGGCGTCGGGATGGCGCTTGCACGTGACTTGGTGCTGTCGTTTTTCTGTTATGCGCGGTCGGCGCATAACAGAAAAACGACAAGGCACGTTAGCACGTGGTCCAACCATGGCTATTCACAAGGCCAACAGAGTGTGCATGGACGATGGACAGAGTGGCCTAGTGAAGCAAGGCCCAAGGGCTTGGTGTGGCACCAGGCTACCGCGACGGCGGGCAGCCGAGAGTCTATGGACCGGTCTATGGACCGGTCTCGTAGACCTCTTTCCCAGTGGACCAGATGTTCTCAAAATCATGAGCGCGGCACCAGAAACGAGACGCGCGTCGTGAACGACCCTAAAGTGGGGTCACCGCCAGATCAGCGATGCCGGCGAGCTCAGGAGGTTAGCCAGCTCAGGCATCTCGACGGGATTGTATTGCTGTTGTTGTCTGAGGAGTGCCCGAGCATAAGAGAGCCAAAGGTTAGCCCGATTTTGAGCTCGAGTGTAAGTTAAGCGGGGCGAGGCGGGCGGTGGCGGTGTCACGACGCGCCTCGCAGGCAACAGAGCAGGATCCGGTAGTATAGCAAGAATGAATGTAGATACAGGCGTGCAATCGAGTTTTTATAGTCGAGACGCCATAGATATCAGAGATAATCATATCTCAGATATCAGGCGCCCGGGGAGTAGAGGTAAGCACGCAAGGTTTGACCATATGGCGCCCAACGGGCGCGTCAACATTGTGATTTCTCAGTCGCGGCGGAGCCGCGACCATTCTAAGTTTACCCTACGGCTAAGCTACGGAGTACTCCGTTACACCCTTCCCCCTCCTGGAAAAGAAAAGAGAAATAGGGGAGGGCTATCTGATATACTAGCATCGTCGTACCAGCCGATGGACTCTGTACGACTCGGGACCCGCCGATGGACTCAAGCGCCCGTGCCACCCACTCCGTGATCGAGGTTCTCGCGATGATCTTGCATCCACTGTTCGGCGAAGGCGTGAATCGGGCCTTCGGCCATCTTACGGGAGACGCCACAATGAACCGCGTGTTTGAGGAACGCGTCGAAATCGAAATTCTCGGGGTGTTCGAGTGGAGCGGGCTGCCACATCGCGGAGATCGATCCGCCAAGAGCGGCGACTTTGCCGAAATATTCCGCTGCGCGTTCCGAAAAGAACGCGCAGATCTGATGCATAGGCGTATTGCGAACGCGGCGTTCGACTTTCTTGTTCGGAAGGCGCGCCGGCCCGACAATCTTCAGGATGAGCCATCCTTCGACCTGGTCCTTGTCGGCCTTGCCGTTGGCGAGGGTGATGCCATGCGGACGCGTACGGTCCGTCTTTTCGAAGTATGCGACCCATTCGTCGAGCGCGTCGAGCGCGGAGTTGGGCTCAGGGACGAACTTCCGGGCATGCTTCTCGCGCCATCCCTTATCGAGATGAACGGCGTTCCCGAACCACTGGGGCGCCTTCCATTCGCTCGCGAATT